GTGGAGAAGTATATGTATGGATAGAAGTAGAATACATATGGGCTTGTACATGCTACTTAAATAAAGAAGAAAGAAGCACCTTTTTGTCGTTACTTGTAGTGTAGCAAGTAGAATGTGCTGCACCATAGCATGGGCTCATGCTTGCTATGTTAAAAAAAAAAAAAAAAAAAGTATTTCATCAGTTATTATTGGATAGGTGTAGTGTGTTTGATTCTAGCATATGCAAAGCAAGTAGAATGTGTCACACCATAGCGTGGGCTTGTGCTTGCTGCTTTAAAAAGAAGAGGGAATTATAAATTCAGTAAGTAAAGGCAAAGAAATAGATCAAAAATGAGTGTGTACTAGTGGGTCGAACTAAATAAGGAGATAAGACAGGAAGAAGAGCAGAAGCAGAAATAGCAGAAGGAGCTAAGAAAGTGGAAGAAGCCAAAGAAACCAACAACTGAAAAGAAGCTGAAGAAGTCAGAGAAGCCTAAGAAGCTGATGAACCTGACAAAGTGAAAGAAGCTGATGAAGCGGAAGAAGCCGACAAAGCAGAAGAAGCCAACGAAGTGGAAGAAGCCAGAGAAACAAGAAGCAGCAGGAAAAAGCAGATGTATAAGAAGCAGAAAAAGTGGAAGGAGCGGTGGAAGCAGAAAGGGTAGAAAATATGCATGGGGTCTTTGTTAGGGCTAGAAATGCAATATCATAGTACATCATATACATGCTCGAGTTTCGATCCTCCTTTATCTTCGTCACGTGACCAGCGTGTGACATCTGATTAAGTTATAGTTGTTTTTATGTTTGGAAGTGTATATATCGGTGCTGAGAGCCGCAGCGTAGCACTACTCCCATATTGTATCTTTATCAATAAAGTTGATCCGAGCGAAAATAATATTGCGATTTGCAAAATTCTGGATTCCATTGATTGATCATCATCTAATAATCACATATTAATAACAATGTAATTGTTATTAATATCAATATGCAATTATTAGATGATGATCAATTAATGAGATCCAGAATTTTGCAAATCGCAATAATTTTACATTATTTATACAGTTTAAAGTACTTTTTAAAAAAAAATAAAATT